CTGTCAAAGAAGAGAGTGTTGTATTGAGGGCAGCATAAACTGTTCCTGCAGCAGTGTTCACATGTTTTTCCATTCACAATTAGTCAATTTTGGATCTTATTTGCAGAAATAAAACAGAAAATCCATCTTGATGAAATTCATGTTGAAATTCTCCTCCCAAATGAATGGCAAATAAAGTTTTTGGTGGTTAAAATTTAGAAAGTCTCTATATATCTATTTACACCCCCCGTCCCCTCTAGAATCCCGCGGGTCCTGCTAGTAGCAAAATGATAGAATAGAATACTGATTATTCTTTTTAAAATAAACATGGATTTTCCACTTCTTCACAATGAATATTAAGCTTCTGAAATAAATTAATTAGTGATTTCTTAGCTCTGATGACTGCGTGGAAATGCTAAATACAGGGCAAGACATTTTTGCCGATTGCAGAAATTTTCATGCAACCAAATGTGTCTGGTTTTACAGCACTCATAATGAGAATGCTTACATGGTTCGGTTTAGAGCACTGGAGTATTTTTTGAGTGTGAATGGGGCCCTTATTAGAAAATGTTCTCAGGTACACTTGAAGGGCTCCTCTCTGGAGAACACCCCCTCTCTGTAGAGGTCATGAACTCGGTCTCTCTTGAAGAGGAGTCTTGCTGCTATGGAGTGAGAAGATGGATGTGGAGAAAAGAGGTGGAGGAAAAAAGGGGGAAAATAAGGACTTTTTTTAGGGGAAAGAACGGTCATTTTATAAACAGGTTTCCATCACCATTTTTGTTTGGAAGGGGAGGGGTGATGTTGAGAGTCTTAGGAGATTGATTCATTTTTATGATTGTTTTATTATGCAGCACTTTGAATCTTGACACAACTCTTGTTGATGACATGTTTATGGGAACTAAATCTTGACACAAGTTGATGTGGAGATTCCCTTTTTGGTGATTCAGTCATGTGTGATGTCATAGCACTGGGAAGTGTTGTTCCTCTGCAGTAGAAATCGGTCCAAAATTCCCTTTTCTCAAATGTCAACAGGGAACAGGCAGTTTGAATGTGATACACTTGATTACATGTGTTATTCGTGGGCTTGGAAACCATGGCACCCCTCCCACTTGAGAGGCCCATCATGTTTGTTTACTTTAATTCCCATGCTATATTTGAACATGATCACACAAGAAACAAATGCATTGTCTAATTTGTCTCCTACATGTATGTAACTCTTTCATGTACAATGTTCATGGAGCGTGTCGTACCACAATAACAAAAAAGTGACTGGTACTGGTAGATGAGCTTCTGATCAAATTTCATTTACATGAATCGTGCACGCTTCAAAAGTAATATACAGTTTCATACCGTGATTATTTCTAGGCCGATATCCACCTCAAGTGTTCCTGTTTTCTCAGTTTAAGTTTGTATTTGAATTGAATTTATTTATTCACCACCATTGAAAACATTGAAACAAAAGATATATATAAATGTACAATGACAATGCCAATATAACTTAAATACATGACATGAATTATAAAATACATGTTCTACAGCGATATACATGTACATTATGAAAATATTTAAAAAATAGTTATAAGTAATTTTAGTGTCGAGAGTAAAACAATAAATGACTATTTACAATGAGTTTGTGATCGATGGTTAAATGGAGTAAAAAGAATATCACATGTGCTAGTCGAGTCTGACTCGCGTTTTCTAAAGCCTAAAATAAAGTTTATTGAAAAATGCATGATGGTTGCTATACAACTAGACCTGCATGTAAATTTTTCTAGATGGGTTTGACCTCTTCGTGTGAATGGGGTCTTGAGTTTTCCTCTGACTATCATTAAAATGAGGCTCAGCTTGCAAATCATTTTTAAGCTGATCATTGCGAATTCATGATCACCTAGCCTTGGCTCAGCTGTGCTCTGTTAAACTGTAAAACCGAGAACAGGGTCGAGAGTAGAGTCGAGTAATGCTGCATAGGGAACACGTGTGTCGGTGTGTGCAGTCCATCGCGCCATACCGTGCATGTAATTTAGGCCCTTTGTGGATTTCAGTGTGTGCAGTAAACTGTGCTCGTGTATGGGAACTCACGTACACACACTTTGCCATGCACAGTGTGCATTTATATGTGTCTGCTGCTGAACGAGCCAGTTGAGTGCTTCAGCATTTCAGTGCTATATTTATCATTGCTGCTATTCTGTATTTCTGTGCTTACGAATGTATCTAGCTCGAAAACAAGTCTACAGACTAGTTTGTTTTTACTCTTATAGAGGTGTACGGTACATGTATTTTTTCTAGACTTCTGTTTATATAATAGTGTACATGTATATAGATAGGGCCTACATGTTGCGTGGATTATTACATGCAGTTCTACATTCGGTAAAGTGTAGGCTGATCGATTTGATGTCACTTTGCCTGTTGATATCACTGCAAGTTTTCTATGAACTTGCATTCAGGAACATTCCCTTTATTGTGAAGTCATGAAATGTTTGCAGATCCAATGTAGATTACACAAAGTGCAATGTCCCCTACTACAATGATGCAGGCCAAATCCTACTACTGCTACTTTATTCTTACAGAAGTTAAAAATGGACAATATTCAATAATCAAATTTCAAGTCAACTGAGAGGGTTTCAAACTTTTAGATAAAATGTGCTTCAATGTATTTAGTAAATGGTCATAATCAATAGTGTCCAACTCACAGCACGTCTTCTGACTGCTTTTTTGGCATACCAGTAATCTGAATCTATGCATAGCCCTATACATGTACATGTATTATGCATTGGCTTATATGTAAACTTTAAATGAGCCTGTCAGTCTTGGAGACAGACTAGTGAAGGTCATAATTTATCAGACTTCGGCTAGTACATGATATACACGTACACATGCATACAGGGGATGTGTCTATTTTGAGCATCACGCTAAGCACAGTCAAGATTTGTTACATACAGGTATAAGATGTACCGAGTAGTCTTCTCTTACAAAGACGGTGGCCGTATTTAGTTCTAATTCAGGGTACATTTATAAATAGCTTGTTGTTATTGCTTGAGAATTTTAAGAACAAACGTACTGATGCAATTTGAACAAGGAGTGGAGTGATTTTTTTTTATAACCATTGGCTTACATTCTCAGCATTAGTAATAGAATACAAAAAATAGAGAAAACTTCTGTGCTCAACAATCTGTGTATACACGTACATGTGTACAGTATATACATGTGCATGTACTTTTTGATTCTTGCATGACAATGTCAATGATTAATAATAGGTAGGGGAGGGGCAGGGGCAGGGGCATGGAGGTGAGGCTTCAACTCAATGTATATGTACATGTAGTTTTAATTATTGTGACAAATGCATGTATGACACAGAGTAGGTTGCATATTAGACTGACATTAGTTGTATTTCCTGATAGCAAAGGTATTCTAAAAGATTGAAATTTTAAAAAGAGAACATTTTCTGATGCTGATGCCTGATGTACAGTGACAGACTGACAGTACATGTACTGTAACACATTGCCTCTTTAGTATCTAAATTTTGTATATTTGGCTTTCCAGGAAATGGTACATTGTAGAAAATGCTGTTTTTGGTATTAATAACTGAATAAATATCAAACAGGATGTGAGGTTATCGGGTCAATCAGATTTTGTGGAATTGAAAACTTACAAAAGTAGGGCAGGAACTCTTTTTTTGTACCTTCTTAATCGTACAGGGTAGGAAAAGATTTGTTTGACATTTCCATAACGAAAATATTGTTCATTTAAATGTCCGCATTGGCATTAAACCAAAAAGCAGGGAAAAAAATTATCATCATTCTCATAAAGTTGACAGCTTGTGCGGCATTGCCTTCATGTATCATGTCAAATTTATTTTAAAAAATTGGAATCAAAAACTTATAAAAGTAGGGCAGGAACTCTTTATTTGTATATTCTTAATCGTACATTTATAAAATATTGTTCATTTAATTGTCTGCATCAATTGGTAACCAAAAACGTAAACAAATTATCATAAGTCTGACAGCTTATGCCGCAGTGCCTTCATGTATCATGTCAAATTCAAAGTTTTCAGAATTGTTCTTTAATTTTGATTTGATTTTCCAATGCATTGCAAAAGTAAAAGAAGGGTCCGTTTAACGGAGCCGCCGCGAAGCATCCATCACGCGAAGTCGCCATTTTCAATCCATTTCAATGACTACATCACAGAAAACAGCAGTGTATGGTATCAGTGCGGTTTAAGGCGGTGATTTTAGTCACATCAACATTTGTACGCAAGAGATCAAATCCTGACTTTGGCAAATTTTTTTTTTTTTTTTTTTTTTTTTTAATGTCAAAATCGGGGGTGCGGCCTTATCGCCGGCAAATGCGGTAAACAATTCCAGAGTGATGGCCTGGCATGAGCAAAGGCTCTCTCCCCAACTTTACATTAACTTTTAGAAGAACAGCAATCCAAAGTTTTGAGAATGTAAAGATCTGGCAGGTGTGTAGTGATTAATCAAAGAAATATTGTACTTTGGAGCAGAGCCATGAACACAAAAGAAGTTCTTTTATGGGTAAACTATGGAGTTCCTTGAGAACCGGTGTGATGGTACAGTGTTTGTTGGAGAGGGTAACAATATAGTGAAGGATGTGTCTCTCTATTTTTTTTTTACTGTGGTTTTGATGAGGGACTACTCCTGTTTTGAAAAAAAATGTTTTGACGAAAATTTTGAATAGATGTTTGATTGTTTGGAGGGGGAAGTTATTCAGGAAGAGAAGCACCCATCATATATTTCTTAGTATGTTTTTTCTATGGTTTTTCTTCTTTAATTTTTTTTTCAGAGCTTAATCGCCCACTACTCCCATGTGCCTCTTTTCACTGTTTGACCTTTCCTCCATGTTTTCTCATTCTTTAATTGTAAGCGTAGTACTCACTCAAGACTATTTTCCTTTGTTGAAAATCTTATTTTCATTCATCTGCTTTCATTGATAATGACTAAAACCCCTACGATAACATTCACACTTTGTTATCTTTATTCTTTGTATTTTGATTCATTCTCCAGGACGAGTTTGCTAGCTCCTCTGCCTCCTCCAGTCAAGGGTCCATCCCGTCCAAGCCTGCCCCGTTCAGGACCATCGAGGGGGGCAAGCAGAGGGGGGCAAGCGGGCTAACCAGGCAAACCGTGTACCCTAAGAAGGTCAACCACTCCATGGTGACATCACTCAAGTGCAAGCGGGACGAGAAGAAGGTGAGGAAATTGCTTCATGTGGAGGGTTTAGAATGGATGGGTGTTAGTGAGAGGCAACGTTAAAGCCTATCTGCACTAGTTTGGCCAGAAGGGATTAGACCACACAGCAGGGTCACTGACAGGTGGTTATCTCATCAAATCAGCTCTCAATTAACATAAGAAAAATGGGATCATGGGGAACCAATGGTCACCGATTAGGCATTGTTTGCTATATAGAGGGCGCAAGTAGCTATAAGTAGTGCAGTGGGGCTTTAAAGGCTCTTTCAGATATGACGGGGTAAACTTTTTTTTTTTTTTTAACGTTTAAATGAAAGGTGACTTCGGGCAATAATGTTTTACGCGTATACACTTTGCTTTGTGTTATATAAAGATACAGGAATGAGTCGTGTATTACATTTTACGTCATCATGAAACACCCCTCCCCCCTCCTGTGGTTTTGCTCTGAACGAGGCCTTATGGCAAGCTTGGGGTTAGTGGGTAACCATGCTAACCATTTACCATGTGGGTGAGTAGATTGTTGCTTGAGCAAGGCTCATAGGAAAGTCTAAGCTATTTTCTCCTTTATGCTTCAGAGCACTTCTGATGGTTAAGCAGTGTGAATCTAACTTTGACTCGACCACTGGAGATGATTATCATGAATGTTTTTTGTAAACCTGGGTTTCCACATTTTCGCTGCTTCCTTTTGTCTTTTCAGCTCTACACTGTGGTGAGGCATGTAAAGGGGGCTTCAGACTGCCAAGAGTCGGGTGAGAGTCAGCAATATGCAGATGATATCGAGTACCTGATGGAGGGGCTGAAGGGAACAGAGAATGTGGGAACGCGCTGTCTGAGGTGAGATAAACTTGTGTGTATGGTTCTCGGCATGCATAATGGGGCTTAAGTAAGTTCCTAAACGTACCTAAAAAAATTGACGTTTTTGAAATACAAAAAGTCAGGTCCTCTCATTTGAATGTTTTTGCTGCATATGAACATGTTTGATATTATATATACATCTCTATCCGATGAAGAAAATTACCTGCATGGTACTGGTAATAATAGGCCAATGTTTTAGCCAAGGCACCTAAAATGCTTCATCTAAAAGTGTCATGGAGCTTGGAGAGACAACTATTGATATTTTGTGAATAGGAGTCGAGAGAATCTTAATCTGATATTTTTATTGTGATGTCACAATACCGTTATGTAATGAACTCTGGAAAGATTTAACGTAGAAAGTGGCATAGATTCATTTATTCCTTATCACATTGTGTAATGGGTTTGACAATCAACAAGTTGATCCTAATGTATTTGTTTCGATGTGCTGTGTATGCCAGGCAGAAAAGAATAGAATTTCAAAGTTAAGAGTCCTATCAGATTAACTGCTATTTAAGATCCCTTCTTTCTAATAATTCACCCAAATTGCCAATTTTGTAAGTCACACACAAGTAGTTGTAGACTTTATTGGATAATGTGTTTAGCACAACGCTAATCTGCCACAAGGTTCATATACTTTTTAATAGGCGCAACGTTAAACTCTCCTATTGTTCCCTTGGCTTAAAGAGAAGGTTGAGTTCTGGGAAGAGGTGAAAAATAATTTGTGAGCATTATCATTGTATTATGCAAGTGTGGAAGGACATCAGAGAGAAAATATTCCGTGAAAAGCATGGTTCTTCAAATGCCTTAATATTCTAAATATGGCATGTGACAACATGTTCGTGTAGTCCCATATACATCTTTCTGTGTACAGTGCTTGTAACTTAACCAAGACTGGGCCAAATATCTTATCATCTTGATGATTCCAGAACCTTGCAGCACACACCAATACTTATATGCTAGATGATCAACCTTTTCTGATCGATTCCACAATGTTTCTTTCACAATGCAATCACATGACCTGGGGGGGGGGGGGGGTGGGGCATTTCACAAAACTTGTCATCAGTCACAAACGACAGTTTTTGTTATAAGCTACTGAAATCCTTGCTTTTGATTGGTTATCAGCAGATTTGTCTCTAATTTTTGTCATTTGTGATTGAGAAAAGGCTTTTTGAACAGACCCCAGAACTCAAATTATCTTTAAAGGTGATAATTGAATGAATGTGTGTTGTTTCTTTCTTGATCAGTACGATGGGTTTTGTAGAGAAGTGTTCCATGCCACAGTTCAGAATGCACATGAGAGCGCATGGGACCATCTCCAAGGTCTTCGGAAAACTGCAAGATGCTGCCCAAGATCCAGTGAGTATTATGTCATAGACTGTGATGGAACTATCAAATTAACTCTTTCATTACTAGTAAATTAAATTAAATTCGTATTTATTTCATTTCCAACAGAAAGATAAACAAAGGTATTACAGAAATGCTTATGCTTGATACAAAATTGCAGTTTGCTTTATGCAAATGTCATGTTCTTATCCTTTAATCTCCAAGAATGGAACTTTTGTGAATCTAAATGACTTGCTAATTTGACAAAAGTTTCTTCATTTAATTATAATAAACTCACACATTTTCTAACTAACAGTGTCTTGGTCTATGCACGTCGGGACTGATGTACATGCTGAGCAGAGACCGACTGAACATGGACCTGGACCGGGACAGCCTCTGGCTCCTGGTCCGGCTCCTGAGCAAGGACTCGGCCCACCGGATCCACCAGCTGGAGCCCACCCAGCAGGCGGAGTACAAGAAGGTCCAGGAGAAGCTCTGGGCCGTCTTCTCGGAGCTCCCCAAGGCCAGCAACTCCCTGGGGGACATCGAGACCAGTGATCTTTCGGTGAGTGGTACCAAGTAACTGTCGATGTGGCTGTCTTTATGTGTAGCCTTGAAATGAAGAGAATGGGCATCAGTCTACAATATACCGGTTACTTTTGTCAAGAGAGCCATATTTGAACCTTGACATTTTTAAAGAATAAATGACTGGGTACAGGAGTTCCCCCAAAACGGTAGTTTCCAAAATCTTATCGGAGCTACACAAAGCTATCAACTCCCTGGGGGACCTTGAGACCAGTGATCTTTCGGTGAGTGGTACCGAATAACTGAAGATGTGCATGTCTTTATTTATTACCTTGAAATGAAGAGAAGGGACATCAGTCTACAATATACCAGTAATTTTTGTCAAGGGAGCCAAAGTTGAACTTTGAAATGTCGAAAGAATAAATGACTGGGTAGAGGAGTCCCTCCTAAACAATTGTTTCCAAAATGGGTTTAACAACCATTTGCTTTGTTGTTGTCTTGTGACAGAACGGTCATCTCGCTATGGAGTCGCTGTTATCACTAACATCGAAACGGGCTGGAGAGTGGTTCAAGGAGGAGCTGAGGTTAGCAGGAGGTCTGGAGCACATAGCACAAACAGGTGAGCATTTCACTGTAATATAACAATGAGAGTCTGTGAAGAGGCTACATGCACCTGCAAAGGATTATCTTCCCGATGATTGTTCAATCCAGTCTGCTGAAAAGGGTTTTTTATATCGTACAAAACGTTGCTCACATCACTCAACATATTTAGGCCACTTCAACGATAATATATCACTTAAAAAAGACTAGTGATTGGGATAGGAGATATTCATTGCAAAATGTTTGTAGTGTCCCATTTTGGTTCCAATGAAAGTTCTGAAGTGCAATATATGCAGATGTGCATGAGTGTCAGTGGAGGGGAGGGGTAGGGTTCATATTTTGCTATGAAAACTATGTCCCATACCCGCCAAATGCTTTTCCCTCCCAGTTCCGTCACTGTGACATTCAATTCTCTCTATACCACAGTGATCTCAGCCGCTCTCAGTCTCAGTCCTGTCATCGTCCGGATGGAAGGGGAGAACCTGGTGCTGTTCAAGACCATGAACAGATGTCTGCGTGTCCTGGAGAATGTGACCTTCATGAACAACGAGAATCAGCAGTATCTCCTGGAGCTCAAAGGCTGCGGCTTAGTCAAGGCTGTTGGAAAGTGAGTCTGTTTGAATGTCTGTAATGGACAGAATCTATCTTTAATCAGGCCCACAATATATGATTGTATGTGTTGCTAGGTCAGGAGAGGATAGAGATGTTTGCATTTCTCTGTAACTAGACACAGTATGTTTTTAAATAGTGCTGTAGCCGAACCGCCGAACCGAACGGAAGTTCGCCGAACATGGCACTTCCGAACCGAACCGAACCGAACCGAACGCAAAGGCCTGGTTCGGATGTTCGGCAGAAAAATAAAAAAACGTTTTTGCAAGCTAATAAACTTGTCATTTTGTACCTAATTTTCATGTCATGATTGCTCATTTTATATTTACTTTTTTTCCATTTTCCGCCTTTGTGATTTATGCCTATCCAGTGGTGGGCGCGACTTCACTGGCGCCATTTAAATCCCAAATCCTGACCACGCTACGTCGCGATCGCAAGCCATAAACAAGAATACATGTGCGTGATCAAAACAAGTTCAGCTCAAACCCATTCAACAAAAAATTAATATTTTAATTGTAACAATTAATATTGGACAAATTTTACAATATAAATAATGAAATAAATATATATTATAGTATGGTATTTATTTATTTAGGAAAAATAGGGATTTTATATTTTTCCTATTGAAAATAAAAACTTCTAAAAAACAGTTATTGACGAGCCTGGCTGAGTCTCTATTCAAGATGGCAGCTTTCATGACTCTAACATTAGACAACAACCGTCTCGGAAAATCTTTAAAAAATATCATTTATTGACAAATTGAAAACATGATTCTTTTAAAATTGAAAATAAAACACGATTCAAGACGGAAATACGAATGTAAGTAGTATTTTTCTTCACAAATAATTACGTTTAGAGCAGTTTTTCAATGTGAAATTCGTGCTGGTCGGAAGCAGTGTGCAGAAGTCCTCCGTGCTGGTCGGGCCCGGCAGGCCGGCTGGCCCGCCCAGTGCCGACCGCCGTGGCTATAACGCTGCTTGCTATTATATTACCGAACCCCGAACCGAACCAAGTTCGGGTGAAAAATTGCCGAACTCTGCCGAACCGAACCGAACACGAACATAGCGTCTGACTTACAGCACTATTTTTAAATCAAGCTCAATTTTTGTGGTAAGCGACATCCATGAATAATTACAGCCAACAGTATCACAAAGAGCTCGGCAGCTCTATCTTCGCTAAGGAAAATGGAAAAAAGAATCTGCTCCCATGTGTGAATATCTCTGTGACAAGACTTAGTAATTCTTAAACATGGCCCCAAATATTTGATTGTATGTGACTTACTTGAACAACAACGACATCCAGCAATATCTCCTACAGCCTTGTTAAAACAGTGGGAAAGTAAAACTATTGTGCTGCAATATAGTGAATACTTATTAGCTAAACTGTCTTTGAAAAGAACAAAGAATACAGAAAACATTTTAGAAGGACAAATTGTATGGATATGTTTTCAATGCATCATAGATAGGTATATGTGATAATTTTGTAAGGTTTCTTTTGCATTTCTTTTGTGTAGGCAGTATGATGTAGATGCAAACATCTGCCTAATAATATTCTTGTAGGAATTCTACCTTGCCCTTAATACTGTCTACTAGGTATTCTTGGATGTGTATTGATCAGTCAAAGCTATGCAGAGGTCTAGAGTTACATGTTATGAAAGGGAAGGCTGATTTCAGGGAAAGGCAAAATTAATTTGCGAGCTTTATCATTCTTTTAATGTTATCATGGAAGAGTATCAGAGAAAAAAAATTCCCTTGAAAAGGATGGCTCTTCAAATATCCTTGTATTCAAAATTAGACAATTGACAGCTAAAGTTTGTGGTCCACACTTTCATGCCACATCCATCTTCCTCATAATCTGAGATTAGCTATACTTTATAAACCTGAATACTCTCTAACAGGGCATTACAAATGTGTGAGAATCACTATGAGTTACATGTATGCTGAGAGCCAGAGATCCAGCACTACATGTCGTTAACAAGCTGTTTAGTCATAGTCTACATGCTATCTTCCTAATAATAGTTATGTAATAAATCCACCTTGCCTTTCAAACTCTTTCCCCAGAGCGTTACGAATGTGTGAGAACCAGGTAGAGCTGTGCGGAGAGCCATAGATACATATTATCCAGAAGTATATAGTTATGGTCTACTTGCCATCTTCTTTATAATCTGAGAATAGCTGTATGTGAACCTGAATACTCTCTAACAGGGCATTACAATTGTGTGAGAATCACTTTGAGCCAGAGATTCAGCACTACATGTCATTAACAAGCTGTGTAGTCATAGTCTACATGCTATCTTCCTAGTAATAGCTATTTAATAAATCCACCTCCACCTTTTAAATTCTCTCAATAGGGCGCTGCGGATGTGTGAGAACCAGCTTGAGCTGTGCAGAGAGCCAGAGGTCTAGCACTACATGTCGTTAACACGCTGTGCAGTCATAGTCTACATGCTATCTTCCTAATAACAGTTATATAATAAATCTACCTTGCCTTTCAAACTCTCTCTCAACAGGGCCTTACGGATGTGTGAGAACCAGCTTGAGCTGTGCGGAGAGCCAGAGGTACACGTTATTAAGAAACTAGACAGCTACGGTCTTCATGCAATCTTACATCAGGGACTCCTTGCAACACTCAGATTACTACTCAATATATCTCATGATAATGGTGAGCATGTCATTTGATTCTTTCACTCTCACTAACTCACAAAAATGGCGAACACATTGCTTTTTGACCTTGCACTGAACTGGGTCCATGACTCCATGCACGTTCGGTCACCAACCTGTAATTTATGCTGGTATCAAACTCCACCCACATAGCTAGAGATGCTTCCTGATTGGTCACTAACATTGATCAGCTCATTGCTGGGTGTGTCTTGGGTGTGTGTGATCAAGGTGGATACACAAGCTGGTATCTCTTTGGTGTGATACACACATCCACATTCATACAGCAATGATACATGCAAACATGATTGCAGAGGCATACACATCACAGATCAAGCCATCATCACATCAACCTGTACTCAATTGTTTAAGGCAACTTTGTTAGGCTTATCATGATATCAGATGAGGAATAATAAGACTTTATTATGGTCTCTGTTTACTGGGTTGACCCAGTTTGTGATGCTCAGCCCAGCGGGCTGAAGCCTGGCAGGTGTTCCAGCTACAGCACTATTACAAATTCATGTATTTTCAGAACGGTTAAACGAAACCGCCCGTATACTTTTAACGGTTCAACGTTTAGCACAAAAACCGTAATGACTCAGGCTTAGAAAGGAGAGTAGAACTTTTTGGAATGCAGATGAGAAAGAGAGAACGAGTCAGAGAAACTCGCAGAGGGGGAGAGAGAGAAGCATACACAGAAAATGTGAATATGTGGGGAAAGAAGGAACAGAATGAGGAGAAAATTAAATGCAGATGAGAAAGAGAGAGATAGTCCGAGAAACTGATGGAGAGAGAGATAGAGAGACACACACACATACACACAAAATAAGAACGAGTAGAGAAAGAAGAGAATTATGAAACGGGTGTACATAAAAGACAAAAAGAGGCACTCCCGTCTCCTATCATATCATAACATGGCTTATCTTTCCCTTCATATTCTACTTATTTTAACTTCATTTCAGAATGGGGTAGTATGAAGGTAGGAGAGCAGGAAAGTTTGATGGCAACAACCTTACAATGTGTAATATAGATGCCTCAGTATATCTGCAAGGAGAATATAAAATATGAAGGAATTGGGAAAAGAGGAAGAGAAGAACGAGAGAGAGAAAGATAGGGAAGGTCCACGTAAAAGACAGAAAGAGACACCCCTATTTCCAATGACATGTGTTTCTCTTCTTAATCAACTTATTTTAACTTCATTTCAGAATGGGGCAGTATGAAAGTCGGAGAACAGGAAGGTCTGATGGCAACAACCTTACAATGTGTCTTACAGATGCCTCAGTATATCTGCAAGGATCAACGCTTTGATGTATTAGTTCTGGTAAGTGAGCACATACTCCTACCTCATTCACACCGCCAAATCAACTAAAAACCGATCTATTCTTGGCAATCAAGGCCTTTTGGGGTGTTGTAATTTCTGTTACAGTCGTTGATTGTCACTCTGGTGTTGATCCCGTCGGTGTGACTGAGGCATAAACAGGAAAAGATAAGCTCTGGGAAGGCTTAACAATCTATTGTCTAGCTTTTATGAGTCTGAGACATAAACAGGAAAAGTTTAGCTCTGGGAAGGTTTAACAATCTACTGTCTAGCTTTTATTAGTCTGAGGCATAAACAGGAAAAGTTTAGCTCTGGGAAGGAATACAAAATGATTGTCTAGAGCTTTTATGAGTCTCTTTCATGTAGTAATGTTGAATATCTACATCTATGTTGGTATTGTTCAGTGTATTTCATATTCAATCAATATTTCATATGTTCACACAACCTGATTGCACATATATATACATTGTAGCCGTTATAATCTCACTTTTAGACTATATTATATTCATCACCTGGAAGGTGGTTGTCTGAAGCGATGTTGGTAGTAGGTGGAGTTCTTTGAAAACACTTAGAGAGCATCCAGTTGTAAGAATATATGTGCATTACAAATGTAGCCATTCCTGGTTTGTTTGGTTGGTTGGTTTGTTTTACCTGACTACTACATGTAAGTAAGCATGTGTATGCTTGTAAGTAAGCAACCGTGGGACTGACGGCTTCAAATCCTATCCGAGGGACTTGGTAATGAGTATTAAAACCTTACCAGAGGGTCTCCCGGCTAGAGACTACTGCTCTACCACTGAGCCATTGTGCCTCCTTAGGACTATTATTATTCATAGTTTGACTAATCATCATGAGACTTGTATCTTACTCCTCTGGCATATGATATCACAAGTTCTTTTATATGATCAGGGGCCTGTTTCACAAAACTCATCATCAGTGACAAATGACAGTCTTTGTTATAAGCTACTGAAATCCTTGCTTCTGATTGGTTATCATCAGATTTGTCACTGATTTTTGTCATTTGTCATTAAAAAATGGCGTTGTGAAACGGGTTCCAGCTATCAAAGCTGGCCTGTTTAACCTTACGTCTCATTGCCTCATACCCACACACTTGATTGTCTTTCACCTACAGAGTCTTGGTCTACTCATCAACCTGGTGGAGCACAGCCCTGCAAACACCAGGAAACTCATCTCCATGAAGACCCAAAGATCCTTTGATTCCAAGAACAGCCAAAGCAGTCAAGAGAGCTCCTCATCGGAAGGGGGCACAGAACCAGAGGTAGTAACTTCACTGGAAGCTGTAGTGCAGGTGAGCTAGGAGAATACCATATAGTCATGTACAGTCAAACCTGCTTTAGTGACCACCTGTCTACAAAGAACACTTTTTTGTTTCCCTTGAAAATGGTTTCTCATTGAAACATGTACTAAAGGAACCTGTCTACAAAGACCACTTTTTGTGTTTCCCAGGCGGTTGCTATAGACAGGTTTGACTGTATCTGAAAGATTAAACTTAAGAGGGCCAGGTTATCTTGATGCTCTCTCAGCGAAGTGGTGCGGATGCCACCCCTCTGGGATTTCAGCCATAGAAATTCTGAAAGTTTGTGTGTAACTGGTGCTTCTTATAGTGATTAAACACATGTGATTTCATTATATGTCAAAAGAGTTTTGAAAGATGGGCTAGATAGATATTCATGCAATCACATACTGAAAATTCTTCATTTTTATAGGAAAATATCTCTTTTGGCTGCTCAAAATATGGATTTTAAAAAAATTGCTAAGGATCTGATGGTTGGAATTCTACAGATTATGTATCAAATGATGCCTGATACAAGAAGGTCATTTGATATTATTGTATTATGTATTTCTTCTTGTATTATGTATATGTATGTACAATGACTGTAAAACCAGTGAAAAAAGAATTTCCTGAAAGGTACAATAAATTTCAATTCAATACAAGTTTGTAGCAGAATTTTTTTCCTAGAACATCCTGTGATGAATGTAGGGTATCTTTAGCACTCCTGTACATGTTATCATCACAGGTTTTTTTTTTATACAACATTGCCCATAACCTCTCTTTCTAGACTATTTCAGAGCATGCCAAATAGAAAATGCTACCATTGAAATGTTCGTGAAAAAGACTTGTTTAATTATGATCTATTCCCATTTTGCTTGCCCACCTCTAGCTTTTCCTTCAGCGGCAGCAGCAGGCGCTCAAGGCAGAAAGCCAGTCGGAGGAGGAGATGATGGGGGAGGAGCCAGAGGAGTGGTCTGTTGCCCATAGCGACCCGCTGGACTGGATAACAATAGAGAGGGATTCAGGGAAGGGGCAGAATGGCCCACAACCGACGGAAGAGGAAATCAAGTCTTCGGTCAGAAAAGGTGAGTGGTTTCATGTTTAAGTAAAAGAAACATTTTATTTACACCCAGTAGAAAAAGTTCCCGTAATCGATCTTGTAATTGGAAAACAAGTCAGAAAAATTCTTAGAACCAGCAAGATTTGAACCTGCCATCTACTGTTTGCTGGCAGCAACTCTATCACCAATCATAATTTGTTTTTAATTTAACATTTCTTGCATAAATTTAAATACAAAGATGACATTGATAACCTGTCAAGTATTGTCATTGTGAAAGAAACTGTCCACAAACTTGTTAGAGCATCGGAGCTAGAGTGAGGGTAATACTAGTTTGTAGGCACCTTGAGTATTAAATGAAATCAGTTTGAATGAAAAGAAAGCTGACTATAGTTGTTGAAAGCACCTTTTCTGTGATGCTTTTATTCAGCTTTTACTTTAGAGGGGGAAGGGGCAAGGTTTAGATTTGTGTTCTACACTGGAAGACATTTACAAAATACAAGGGGAAGAAATCATGTGAAGCAGAATTTAATTGGTCATATACAATTATAAATGAAAAATTCTGATGTGTTCTATAAGATTTCGTTATGAATTATAATAATGTATTTATATAGCCCATTTTCCATATATAAGTTCCAATACGCTTTACAATCATGTTAACAGAAAAGGTGAGTTTTTAGATATTTTTTAAAGGTATTGAGAGATTCAACAGTTTGGAAGCAGCAGTTGTGAATGCCTGTCACCAAGTGTTTGTAGCTTTTCAGAACTGGGGAAATATAGTGGACATGAAAAGAAATCATACAAGAGTCTCGTTGAGATAGATGTTTTTTTTTTTTTTTTTTTTGGTTTCCTTACGTGACAGCCCTCCATTCAGCAGGAAAACACATGGAAGACAGTATAGTAGCGTCCTACGCAGCCCTCTTACTGGGGTGCCTACTACGAGAAAACAATGTAAGTAATTCTGATAGAAATACAATGAAACCTGTATACAAAGATATCTCTCAAGGGGGACAAATACTCCCTTTAAGCCCACATTATATTAGATTTTGAAATGTAAACGAATGTCATCTTTTCGATGTAGGTTCTAAATAATGATGATAATAGTAAAAAACAGAATTTTAGTGCTTTTAAGCCTTTTAGTTGGAGTAAAATCTGAATAGACTTTAAATCGAAGACGATGGCACTTCTGGTATGACGTCACTATGATTCTGAGCTGATTTAGCTATTCCACCTCCAAGGAAGCTTGAAATTCATCAAATTTTTGATTTCATTAATCAAATGACTATTCATATAATCGATCATTAAGATTTAAAAAGTTTGAATGTTCATATCAATTGCCAATTTTTTTCAAAATTGGATCGTAGTCAGATCGTACAGTGTGCGCTGTGCTTTAGGTTTATGGTCATTTGACTCTCATGTTCAGGTTTCTCAGGAAGATGAAGATTTTCTCAAGAAAAACTGTTCAAGTTATCTTTATATACAGGTGGTTGCTAAAGCATTATGTATTGCATTGATTACATGCAAATAAATATATCAATTGTCAAAGTGAAAACTTTTTTGAAACATCACTGATGTCTGCTTTCAACATCAATCAAACAATTGTATCTCTTCTCTCTTCCTCTCTCCATGTCTCAGTTGAACGTTGTGAGTGTACGAGACTGCCTTCCGGATGGTGACTTCACGTGTATGGTAGACATGCTGAAGAAATTCTTGTCTTTCATTGAATTAACGGTAAGTACAAACGCTTGAAGCGGGGTTTAAAATTAACAAAACATTGTCAGGGCCTTTGGTGAGAAGTGCTGTGTTCATTTTGGGACTTTGCAAATTGATAACGAGTCTTTCTGTATTCTAAGCAAAATTTGTTGGCTGCCAGATATTTTTTTCTGGCAATTTTTCCATTTATTTGAGCCCACTTGTAGTGTTAACACTTTTATATGCTCTTTGGTTAGTACCTTCAGTCCAAGCAGATGTTTATACCAAACATGGCTGCTGTTATTTTACCAACAGCCATCCACATTCCAGCCAACATCTCTGTCTGCATTAATGCCTTTCTCTCGGCAGAGAATAACAAAAGGTTTTCATCAGACCATAATTAGACCATAAGATAACATTTGGATAATTAGCATTACTGAAAATCAAAACCCTGATTCCAAGTTTGATTTAAAGAAATTGCAGTGAAACGCACATGCGTACATGCTCAAGGTTAATGGAGCTCCAAATAGTCCTGCCCCATATACATTCTCTATGGGAGGTAACTATTTGGATGCTCCGTGAATTTGATCTCAGAACAGGTGCACCTTTTGTTGACATAAGTATCTTCTCTCCCGCCATACTTGAGACCATTATTCACAGAAAGATATCCCTGCATGTAAAATTTTGTTTATTTTGGCTCTGTTTCATTCACAGAACGCTGCTGGAAACACTGGCAGCAGAAGTATATCGAAAGTGATCGAGGTCTTGGAATGCTTCTAATCTAGAGATGGGCACCAAAGCAGCTACTGAATGAATGCATGCACTCCAAAGAGGGATACGTCACTACTAATTGGTCTTCCAGTATCCGCAGATATGGTCTTGACTTGGGACCCAACCCCACCACCATTAATGCTACCTGCCTCATCAGAGAGGGTTCGTGGCACGGAATCGACTGTGCCTCTGCACGATGGCGGTCAACCATTACGAGTTCTTGGAGAGTTTGTAGGACTGCCTAGGGTAGGGGTGATTGCTCAGGGGTGAGGGGATGCTCCTCCTTCATAGTCTTGGAGTGGGTGTGAGGAACATGAGTGCTGGTGTCAGGATCAGTAGTCCCTAGGATAGGACATGAAGCTATAGGTCCTCTATTCGTCTTGGTTTGGGGTTTGTTTTGGGGAAAAGGGAGTGTTTCTCTCTCCTGTGATTATGTGTTGAGACCTTGATTAGCGGTATCAGAAGACTCGCCCCTCAGATAGGACATCAAGCTATAAGTACACTGATCAGTGAAAAGGATACACCTAGATTCTGCAGCATCTTAGGCATCAGTGATAGAATCAGGGGTCGCTTTTGTCAGGGGAAACTTGGATAAGGTCTAAGGGAATTGTGAATATCTGAGAGCGAGTCTTGGAAACATTGTGGACTTTGAAAGAGAGGTTACACTTCAAGGGATACTAGGTTAGATCGTTCTTATTATACATGAGGTAAAAGGTGGAAAAATTAGTCACTGCAAAGTGAAAGTCTTAACGAAAAGATCATAAATTGATATTTCGATAATACAGTTTATATTAACATTCCTTTTCATACTGCTCTTTTAAGCAAGTCCTTGTGAACGCAAATCAATTTTTTATATTACTAACACTTCTCAGATCCGTTCCCATTCAAAATGTGTTTCAAGTATTTAACTGAAACCATCTTTAATGAGTTTGCTAGAGTTTAAACCCCTCATGTTACATAAAGAGTAATTCTTCAACTGCATGTAAACCATTACAAGGTTGACTTAATTTGTTTGTGTCGAGATAAAATTTTCCAATATGGGTAAAATGGTGAATTTGCTAGGGTATCCAAGGGGACAACAATACTCAAGTTCTTAGTAGCTCATGTGTACATAGTTTGGCAATTTCGTTTTAGGAAATTGCGTATTCATTTTTGATGTTCAGAAGAGTTTATTTGAGAGTAAATTTGATGGCAAAGAATGGCATGCTTTTTCCTTTTATGGAAGTATGAGATTTATTTATGCAAGATTGTAATTAAAGTTTGAATTTTTTTTTTGATTTTTTTTTTCTGTTAATTTAAAATTTTGATTGTTATCAAATGAAGAAAATAAGAAATGATTTCCTTTCTGAGAAAGAAATATTATTTTAATTTAAATATTTTTGTCAAATTTAGATTTGGTTTGATTTGAAAAAATGTTAATTATATGAGAATTCGCCATTATTTTCCTTCTAAAGAACTTATTGTATTTGTTTATGATCAAATCTTCTCTGAAAAAGTACAATAGTCTGCAAAAGGTACTTACTGCCTTTAAGATGATTTTCTTTTTGAATTTGTGTGCTTAATTTATGGTACATGACAGGGAAGAGAGATCGGTTGTAGTGGGACGTTCCATAATTGGGGGGGGGGGGGGGGGGGGGGGGGGGGGACAGAGTGGGGTGCGAGGACGAAGGGAGGGATTTGTCCAAAATAAAGGATTTTACTTTTGTGTGGCTTGTTCTCAAACGTGAGAGATAAAGATGAATTCTATACAAAGAAAATGTTGGCCTTAGAAAAGAAAACTGAAGAAATTAGAGGAGAGAGGAGAATGAGAGTTGAGTATGATTCTATGAATCCATTTTCGAATGCTATCGAACATGAATTTGCAATGAATGTGATCTTGTATTTCAACATTATGTATCATGCAGCCTTTTGAAAACTGTCAGTCTATTGTACACAATTTTGTATGCTCACTCGTTTTGTACAGTTGAAGAATAGCATTATCTTTGTACAGTTCTTCTGGAATGAATACAGATGTCTCTTTGATGTTTTTGAACCATTCCACGATAATTAACCTCGTTGTAAATTGACGCAAGAGGAAAAAGATGGCCTATATTTTGCTTGACATGTCCAATACGTGATCTCTTTTTGAATAATAATAATGCATTGTAACTTATTTGTATTGGATAGTTTGGAGAGTAAAAACAAAGAATTGCAATGTTTGTATCGCTATACAGATTGGTGTCCCCATTGCGTGCTGTACATACAGAATTAAGGGATATCAGTGTAAATATTTATACGGAAATCATTTTCTCAGTGACTCTGTTTTGTTCAATCTCTATCATATATGTGATTATTTCTTTTCCTTTTCTTTTTTCTGTTTGATATTTCTTTGGAGAAAAAAATCTATTTTGTTGATTGTTACATGAAATCAGGAAGAAACTTGAAGTTTTTGTCATTTTTTTGTCAATTCTCTATTTGCTATTTATGCTCGTCATTGAAATGAAGACATGATTTGCAATTTGTGTGATTAGATTTAATGAAATCATAAGGAGGGAATGTAGGTTTAGAAAGCAAAGTATCTTGGAGTAATATATAAAATAGATTTCAATCATTATAAGAATCTTAGATTGATATGTTTCAATTTTAGGAAACAGTAAGTCTTCTTCTTCCCATTTAATAGTATTAAAGAGGCTCGCATTAGCATTTTGTATAAACAGGAACTTGTCATCAAAATTTTCAAGAAATCATCCAGTCATCTTTAGAAACAAAAACATATATTTTTTTAGAAATATGAAGTCGTTAGGATATCCATCGTTCTTTGAATACTAATTTTTTAAATGGAAAAAGGTAAACCTCTTTAAATACCTGTAGAAATTTGTGCCGAAATTCATAAGATGTCATTACAATGTTTACAAGTACACCCTCAAATTCAGATTTTCCTGGCATATTTAGCATATTTATGATTGTGTTCAATCAATTTTAAACTTGTATTTTAATGACATACATAACTCATATCATGCATTGACCCATGCTATGAATCCTGTGTAGCTGGCATTTAATAAGGTGTTTAATGCAAGGTAGTGTCAGAAATTTGCAATCCAGGAAAGTGCATATGAACTAAAATAAATAAAACATCATTTAGGTAGCAAGAAAATCATAAATACATGATACAAAAAAGCAATTTTGAGAGAACTGTCCCTCCAAAACTTCCAAATGGACAAGACAATACTCACCATATACATGCATAGTTTAGTTGGTCTACATGCATAAGTGGTGTTGGTGAGATCAACTCCAAGTTACGAAACCTGTTAATTTTTAATAAAGAAGTTGCATTTCATACATATGTTTGGAGCCAGAAAGGTGTTTACTCATATATATATTGACACATATTTAATGCCTTTGTTGCTCTGAATAGACTACGTCTTGTGGCTTCCCACAAGGCTACTACTATCATTGACAATATATACCGGTAGCTCTTACGACCTTTGTGCTGGTAGCTGACAATATGGCCCTTTATAGATCCTGAAACTTCACTTATGGTGGTAGATTTGTAGTGTAAAGATGCATTACAAGTTTGATCTAGATCCATGATAGATTGCACATGCCTGACTCTACCTTTAAACAATTACTCATTCTTTAACATTTTCGAACGGTAATGAAAGTAATTCTCACCCGCCCTATTTATAGAGGCATTCTTAACACTAACTTCCAAAATCTTTAACTAATTTACCTTTACTAAGTCACCCTTAAACTTTTCTAGTAGAATGTAGACTTCATTATGCAACTGTTTGATCCTTTGCTTTCATGATCTTGTCGATTTTTGCTTCTCAAGTTTTCCACGATTTTCATGAATTATGTGTCTCATTCATACCTTGTAAACACATTGTGTAGTCAATTGGAGAAAAAAAAATAAAGAACAAGAAAATGTGATGTAAAACGAGCTTGAATAAATGTTGTTATGTTTGTGTGTTTAATGTACATATGACAACATTGCATAAGCTATATTGTGCTTTGTCTTGTAACGCGATCGTAAATGCCTACAGATTCTGATCTATAAGTAGCTTGATTCTCTATAATGATAAAAATAAAATGTTTTAAATACAAAGACCAACTTGTATAACATTATTTCCAATATATCTGAATATGAAAATATGAAGAAACAAATGATAAGACGGCTTGAAACCAAAATTGAATTTATAAAAATTAGATTTAATATAAACAAGTCAATAACATGCGAACATCATGTACAATAAATCACATTATAGTCTGAGGTATCGATTTTTTAAATAGTAACATGCTAGTAATCAAAATGGCATTTTGAGTGTCATATTCTATTACAGATATAATCGAAAAGAGAAGTTTTGGGGGATGATAATCAACAAAATCCATATTTTACAGAAATATACATTATTATATTTCTTGAACCATCATAACCATTTTGACATAAGTATCAGAAACAAGAAGGGTCGCACTATAGATATATGTGTACATGTTCATGCATGCAAGAACGTTTACATGCTAATGGACAGAATTTTAGGGGGCATTCCGGGCCCTGCTTTAAAACAACTTGCTATCAATAATAAGTGTTACATTTCTAAGACAATTGACTCTCGGCCAAGCAATTACAACGATTTCAGTAGGTTGTAGCAGTTATTGCAACTTGATAACAAGTTTCATGAAAAAGGGCACAGGATAAAGGAATTTGACCCATGTTCTTCAACAGCTTCTCAGAGCCTTTCATATAGAACATTATAATTCATCTCCGTGGTTGCAGAGAGGCAGATAAGTTTGTAAAACTGTAAGCCAACTTCCTAGGTATGATTTCTAAGGAATGATTCTGTGTTCAAACGTTTCAGTGAGCATCGAAGAACTCGTCCTACTGAGCTTTTGGTGCATATACATATCCACTTCCAAGCCCCATAGAGGGTCTCGTTACACAACAAGAAATAGTTTTAAGAAATACATTTATTTAAAAAAAACAATCACATCTCTGATTTATTCACAATGACAGGGTGTATATGAAAAACAAACAAAACTATATACACATATATTTTATTTCAGTATCAATGGCATTAATGGAATGTCCATGGGTATATAACATAAGTGAACATGTAATTATGAAGAAAAAAACAGTTGGCCACTTGTGATATCAAGAGATGGTAAAGTGTCTAATAATTCTACCCTGACTTTTGTTTTCCTTCAGTATTCCCCTCACTCCTTCCTTCTTTCTCACTTTTAAAAAAAAATTCTTCATCATCATCGTCATCATCATCATCATCTTCTTCTTCTTCTTCTTCGCTTTCTCCTCTCATGATTCTCCACTTATTTCTAATTCTTTGTCTTCTCTCATTTGTCTCATACCTCCTCCTTTTGCTCCCTTTCTTCCTTTCTTCCTCTCTTTGTTCTTTTTCTTCTTTCTTTTTCTTCTTTGTTGTTCTATTCTTATTTTATACTTCTCCTCCTCCGCCCCGTTCCTCTTCCTCCTCGTCTTCTTCTCATCCTCCCTAACCACCTCCTTCACTTATTTCTTCTCCTCTTTCTTCTTTTCCCGTTTCCTCCTCCTCCTCCTCTTCTCCATTTATTTTAACCTCTTTGCTTCCCGATCAATCTCAGAATACATCTCGTCGATCTCCTCTGCAAAGACCTGGTGCATGACGTTTCGTTTGCTCTTGAGTGTAGGCGTGAGGAGGCCTTCCGCCTCGGAAAACGGCTTGGAGTGGATATGGATGCCCTTTACCTGAATGGGATGAGAAAGGGCGAGAAAGGGCGAGAAAGGGTGAGAAAGGACGAGAAATGGGGGTCAACAATGAGAGAGTGAGGGAGAGGAGGTGAGGGGGGGGGGGGTGGAGGCAAAGGAGATAGACAAACGGAGAGAAGAGGGTAGAGATTAAAGAAGGGGGATACAAAGATGGGAAGAGAGAGCGGGAGATGCGTGGATATTACAGATAGAGGGGGAGGGAGAGAGGGGGAGGTGAGAGGGGAGGAGAGAGAGGAGGAGAGAGGGAGAGGGGAGGAGGGAGTGAGGGAAAGAGGAGGGAGAAATATAGAGAAAGGAGGGGTTGTAGAGATGGAAGGAAGGGGATTTAAAGACGGGGAAGAGGGAGTGGGAGAGGCGTAGAGATCAAAATAGAGGGGAAGGATGGAGGGAGGGAGAGAGGGGAAGAGAGAGAGAGTGAGATATCGAGACAGGCAGACAGAGAAGGGTGTTAAATAAGGGTGAAGTTGAAAAGGGTCTGAATTGTCTGATTAAAAACTCCTTCAACAAGTAAGTCAATAGAAGTAAATTTTATTATTTTTATTCTTATTTCATTTGTATTATTTGAATAACACGATCACTGATTGGCTCATTTGCAGCCAGTTACAAGATGTCAACCAATTGTAATTACTGATATAACTTTACCAAGGACATTACCTGTTCAAAACCAACGAGTCCTTCAGCTTTGCCGTGTTTCATCATCCTTGAGAAAATGGTTGCTTTCACTTTCTGCATTCGAAATTTAAAAAATTATTGAAATGTTTAAGAAAAATAATTATAAATCAATTAATTTTGAAGATATTAACAACGTTCCAAATTCTATTCGACATGGTCTCAAGTGAAAAAGAAAGTGTTAAAGACAGTGTCAACGTGTGATATTTTTGCAAGCCCCGCTAAATCTGATTTTCAAAAAACGATTTTGGATTATTGTTTTATAAAAACCATGTAGGTGTATCTGGGAGATGCCAATAATGAGAGGGGTAACCAAAATAAGTTTTTTTTTAAGGGAACACTTTAAAGGAACAATGTCCCTTCATTACCCTTGGATGAACTAGGAAAGATTGTTGAAAAGATATTATGTATGCGCCCATCGCAGGCGTCATTTCTACTGCGTTATTAACTGTGCTAATCAAGTCTGTGAAGAAAATTAGCGCATACGTCAGTGATTTGACACCATATTCTGCACTGGTCAATATGTAATCATTTTTTTTAAACGATATTTCTTTCATACGGCGCGTCAAAGACCACGACTTTTGCTGACGCAGCCCTACGTCAGTGAAACATAGACTGCGTCAACAAAACAAGGCCTCGTGTGCAACAGGCAGAATTGGAAGAAGGTGAGATGCGCGTGTTAATGTATGGTGTAGGCTTTATACCTCGTTCTGACACAACTCTTCAAAACACCCGGGGATGTTCTGTTTCTTGGCAAACTTTTCAAGTTCTTCCTGATCCGGGACCATTATTCCCACCAGACAATCCTGTAAAAAATAAAAATAAATAAATAGAGAAACAAACAAATTAACAAACAAAATTAAAAAAACAAGCAAGATTTTGAAAGTACTAACATTCAGCCAGCCACCACCTCATCACCTCATATTCAGGGAGCGAGGTAGTATGATTGTAATTTTCATATTTTATCTAATGTTATTTGATAACGAAATTACATTTTCATCATATCAAAGTGTCAACAACTTTTAACTTGATCTCTATGCTCTCTCTCCCGCTAAAACTAAGAAACCCAAATTCGATATATTAATCCACGATGCGTCACCTCCTTCACCCCCCCCCCCCCACCCCGCCCGGCGCGGCCAAATTGTCCCCGTATACGCCTGTGGAATTCTTTTTTTCCCTCTCTTAATCAATTTCCTCCGAAGAAAATCAATGAAGTACAAATCAATGTGTGTAGGATCTTCAAAACGTTCTTATTCTCAATTCTCAGTCATACTTTCTCAAACTTACTTTTCTTTTAGTTTATTGTTCTTCTGTATATATTGAATTCAAGTTAAGGGTATAGACTTTGCCTTCAACATTTAACCTATGACGTCATACCTTGCTACTGTCGCCCGTCACGAAAGCCTGTGCGACCAGAGGTTCTCTGAGGTAGAAGTTCTCAATCTTCTCTGGAGCGATGTAGACGCCCTGTGATAACTTGAAGATGTCTTTCTTACGGTCAATGATGGCCAATGTCCCATTCTGATGAAGAAGAAGAAGAAAAAAGGGAGAGAAAAAGAGGAGTGAATGTGGAAATCATTTATTTAAAGGGTATTCTCATTCGTTTGATTTCAACTTGACCACATAGACGGTGGTGGCCCTATGAAAGATGTGTTTTTAGGTTTTTACCCTTTTCGGAGGGGGAGAGTTGGGCTGAGGACAAGGAAAACAATGGGGTCTGAGTGTTGAATTATAAGCCTGGGAGTGAAGACGAGGGGGATGAGGGATGGGGGCGGGGGGTATATAGTAGCGTTTGCCTCCATGGTGCCGCCACCGCCACTGCCAAGAAATCATAAGAGTCATAATCAATTTCCCTAATCCCAATCAGTAAATGTAAATATCTCAACCTTTAGATTTCACTTCTTTTAAAGTACTTACATGATAGTATATATCTCCCATGTATTTCATCGTATTTTAGGCCTAAGAATTTGGAAAAGTTATATTGTGATGATAAACCTCATGAAACAAACTGAAATGAATCCACCGTTATTACACGTTGCGTGATAATCTGTCATCCATCATCGTCGTAAAACGCCAGAAGTTCTAATGGGGCACGAGTCTATCTGTAACTGCTAAATTTAGGGGTTTCCCCCTTTTTTTAAATATTCAACTGTACCTTGTTCCATCTACCAATGTCGCCCGTTCGGAGCCAACCGTCACCGTCTAGTACCTGGCTCGTCATCTCGGGATCTCTGTAGTAACCATTAAAGACATGGCTCCCTTTCACACATACCTGAGATTAAATGAGCAATCGTGATAATTCTCCCTGGTTTCCCAAATAGCAAGCGAAATAATTTGAACAGTGTCATTTTATATTCAAGACATTGTTTATTGGTGAAATGCAAAGGGGAACTGTTTTTTAAAGAATATCACAGAAACATTTTCAAGAAACATAGCGGGTTACACAAAGAAGAAGGGGAGGGGGCATATTCGCGTATCAATGGAGGCACTTTTTTCTGTACTGAATGTCTATGCCCCTCGATTTCAAGGGGGAGAGGGGGACCTTCGTGTAGTTCAAGTTAGGTATGACACTTAAGTTTCCAGGGGAACATTCTTGTACTTCCACTTGCGTTAATGGGGTCCGAAGGGGGGGGGGGGGAATTCGCCAGAAGTCAGAAGAACCAAAGCCAAATATTATGATCAAAGTGGCATAGGACTGCGAAAGCTTGAACAACACTATGATTACCTCTCCCTGGTCATTGTTGGAGTAGTAGTCCAACTCGGGGACGTCGATCAGCTTGATCTGCGAATCGCCTCCTGGGATACCCACGTGACCACTTGTGACGTCATGCGGTACGGTGTGGGCGATGACAGGGGCTTCCGTCTGCCCGTACGCCTCGAAAAACTGGCGGGAAACAACATGAAATGAACCATATTAAAATAGAAACTTAAATAGTAAGATACACTGTAGACTATAATGTTACATTGACAGTCACAGATGACAAATTTTAAAACCGATGCTCACAGAACAGTCCGTTACAACTAACTTTTATTCGACACTATCTAGTCATAACTAATTACCGTTACAATGTTTAACAATAATTGTCGTATTATTCACAGTAGACATATTACATTACAACGCCAATCACATTGTTGTAGCCGACTTTTACTGCATATTTACGTTATTCATCAGACAGTTACTACTAATGTTTTTCTACAGGCAATCACAAT